AACAAATATGTAGATAACAATCTCAGTGCGGGTCTTGTTCCAGAATGTTTACAAAGTCTTGACATAATACAACGCAGATTGATAAGTCAAATACAAAGCTTTATGACAATAATCATATTGCCAGGTGGGCAATATGCAGAAAAAGGTTTAGCTATTCATTTCCCGTTAGATATGGAATCATATTTTAAATCTTTACAAACATTTCAAAATGAAAATGTTTTACTTGTTGCCTATTCAAATAAACGACCTCAACTTGCAAGCATCCCAGTTGCCAAAGTGGTGAATTATGAAAGTGTACGAACAGCCATTTTGTGGTTAAAAGAAAACAATATACTTTACTGTGGTTTTCCCGACTTGCATACAAGTACATGTCTTGGTGATGTAATTGAAATTCAGGCCAATAGTGAAGATACACATATACAAAATGAGGTTCAAAAATTGATCAAAACTGGTCATGAATCTGCAACTGTCCCTGTAGATTACACATTACCAGATATTGAGATTGATTCTTTGTTGAGGGACCGTCAACAATTTCAAATTCCAGTTCAGTTTAATAAACCAACTTGGTTATCACAGGTACCACATGGGGAAGAGTTAGCTTTCCCATGGCTTTTCCCAGAGGGGAAAGGTGGCATATATGATTCGCGATCAACAAAATTATCTGTTCTTGAATATTTCCAATATCGCCTATACAATAAAGATGCACGGTGGAGAAAAAACATTACTTATTTGATGTATGCAGTAAATCATATGGAACAGTCAAAGTTAAGTAATGAAATTGAAATACAAATGCGTCTAAAGAAATCAGATGGTAAATTGACAGCAGGAACTCTCTCGCAAAATTCCAATTTATCAAATATAAAACAAAATTCATTTATGTTTATGAAAAACATTCGGGGCACTGTTGCTTACTGGGCAGATGTCTTACAAAATCTCTTAGCAACAGTTAAAAGTTTAGGACCACCAACATTATTCCTTACTTTATCAGCAGATGACTGTAGTTGGCCAGAGTTGAAAATGTTATTGACTGGTATATCTTATGAGGAATCATTCAACATACCTGAATGTCCAAATGAAAACATGAGGAAAGACCCTCTTTTTTCATCTCTACATTTTGAAAGAAGGTGGAAAGCTTTCTTTAAGTACGTCTTGATGGGAAAAGAAAAGCCTTTAGGTAATATTGAAGATTACTTTGCACGTATTGAATACCAAAACAGAGGTAGTCCACATTTGCATATTTTTTTATGGATTACACATGCACCAACATTAATAAGTAGTACATCATCCGAAATTACACAATATATTGACAAGGTAATTTGTACTACAATACCATCAGAAGAAAAAGAACCAGACTTGTATTTCTTAGTCAATCGCTTACAAATACATCATCATACAAATTCATGTAAAAGAAACAATGCTTGTCGATTTGGATTTCCAAAGTTACCTAGCACACAAACAAAAATACTTGCAAATGTGAATATAACAAGCCCATCTAATCAGGGACATTTCTATCAAACCAAAAGATCACTTAATGATCAATATGTAAATGCTTACAATCCAGATTTACTTATGAAATGGAGAGCCAACATGGATATACAAATGGTAAGTGGTGTCCATGGATTGGCATATTATGTATGCAGCTATATAGCCAAAGCTGAACCAGATGATTTAAAGCATGCATTGAGTAAAATTTATGAAGATTTAAATTCAAGTCTGCACCAATATACTGCAAAAAAACAGATGCATCTTATTGGAAACTGCATTTTAAAAACAAGACGCTTGTCAGCTCAGGAAGCAGCAGCAAGGGTAGGGCATTTACAATTGATTTGGTCATCAAGGACAACTGTTTTCTTAAATACTAGGCCAAAAGAAGAACGTTTTAAAGTATTGTTGCCAAAGCAGCTTAGAAACCAGTTGCCTGATAATAGCACAGACATTTTTTGCTCAAATATAATAGATTATTACATTGATCGTCCACTTGATATGGAAAAAATATCTCTTTTTAAGTTTGCATCTTGGTACAAAATGTCATCTTCTCAAACTACTCATGTTTCATCTAGATGTAATGAAAGAATTGAATTAATGACTCGTAAGAAAATAATGCAAAAAAGGAGTAAGTCTGCTATTATAAAAACACCAAAATTTCAAGGCAACAGTGAACAATATTATTACTCAATTATCATGTTACATTTGCCATTTCGCAATGAAAGTAAACTGATTCAACCCTTTTTATCAGCACAACAAGCATTTGTAGAAAAAAATCATCTGTTTGACTTGGCAGATATTCAATTTGAAGCATATTTACATGATATTGAAAGAGCAGTTAGACTGTTGAGTGCTATGCAAGAAGATATTGGTCCTGTAGTTGCACCTAATACTCATGATTATGAAGAAAGTCATGACCAAATATCAGACGACCATTCTTTTATTAATGCAGAAAATATTGAAATATCTGGGTGTTGTGATCAAAATCTGACAAATAATTCCATCAATGAGTCTTTCCACTCGCTGCAGGTTAATATGCTATCACCCGAAGAATTAGATAACGATATTAGCAAATTAACATCAGATCAAAGAACAGTATTTACAGTTATAAAAAAACATTTTGATAATAAATGTAAAAAGCCATTACATTTATTTATTAGTGGTGGTGCAGGAACGGGCAAATCATTTCTTATTAAGATATTGGTTGAATGGTTAAGACTATTTACAGCACCATTTATTGGCTCCAATCCAGTTCTAGTATGTGGACCAACTGGTATGAGTGCTAAGAATATTCATGGAAAGACTCTTCATTCAGCATTTAAACTACCTGTACAACATGGTTCTGAACCAACATATAAAGAACTAAGTAGCAGGACACTGCAGGAATTACGTACAGTTTATCGTTCAGTACACACGATTGTAATTGATGAAATCTCGATGGTTTCAAGTCAGACATTACTTTATATCCATAGACGCTTATCAGCAATTAAGGGAAATGAGGATTATTTTGGTGGTGTAAATGTTATTTTAATTGGTGATTTCCACCAACTCAAACCTGTAAGAGGAACTTTTGCATTTCAAAATATTGTTCTCTGGAATTTATTTGACACATACATTTTAGAAACAAACATGAGACAAACTTCCTATGATGGCTACAGTGAACTTTTAAATAGAATTAGAGTAGGAACATTTACATCAGAGGATATTGATATATTGATACCAAGATTAATAGAAAAAAATGATCCTAGATTTCATGGTGTTTTAAGAGTATATCCAACTTTGAAAGAAGTAAAAGAATACAATGAACAACAACAAAATAGACTGTTAGAAAATTCTTTAGAAATTAATGCTATCCATGAATTTAGCACAAGTGATACTGTACACGATGAAGATATTTGTAATTTTATACCAATCGATGATCGAAATGCTGGAGGATTACCTAACAGATTAATTTTATCACTCAGTACAAGAGTTATGCTAATTCGCAATATTGCAACTGAACATGGTTTAGTCAATGGAGCACTAGGTTTTGTGCAGCATATTGAATTTGATAAAAACAAACCTTTTCGAGTATATGTACGTTTTGATAACAATACCATAGGGCGTCTTTTCTACGATAACGGTCACAATGCCACTATAATTGAACAAGTTTCTCAGGAATTTTACTACAAAGGACGATCAATTACTAGAACTCAATTTCCTATTACTCCAGCTTGGGCATCAACTATTCATAAAGTTCAGGGCATAACTTGCGATAAAATAGTACTTGGATTGGGCAAAAGTGTTTTTGCAGAAGGCCAGTCCTATGTAGCTTTATCAAGAGTTAAATCATTGGATGGATTGGGAATAGAATCATTTGATCCAACAAAAATTAAGACAAATCAAGCAGTAATCAATTTTTACAGTTCTATATCACCACTGAAAACACATACTCATAATTAACAACATTCACATTCATTTATATAAAATTTCTCAATTTGTACAGTTCTGTATCACCACTAAAAAACAAACTCATGATTAACAACATACATGTATATTAAATTTTTGCTGTTTTAATGAAGGTTGCATATATATTCCCAAATACCTATGATTAACATTTAAGCTTCCATGGTCTTAACAAACTTATTTTCAGTATCATGCTGGAAAAAATTTGTTCTTCTATAAGTTTATGTGTAATATTCATCTTCCTTCGGCGTCTATCGTTATACAACGTTATACATGTTATACTAGCCAGGAGAGTTTGCGTCTCTAATTGTTAAATTTATCCTACTATAATTATTTTTGGCATATCTTTATTTCAAATATGTATATGAGTTTAAAAGTATAACATATACTAGATGACAAATAGATAATGATAATTTCAAAGGTGTTGGATTCAGAAGCATATCTTGGAACAAGTTGAGTACAATTATGACCTTGTGTTACACAATATTTTAATGCACACTCGATTATAAATATTACACTAATTGTAGAAGCTTTGGGCAGTATTGAAATTTATTGTCAAAATTACAAAAGAATTGCAAAAGTTAAGACTTTTAAAGTGTTTCTGAAATTTAAAGATTGACAAAAAATAAATTAAAATATGTACATGATCTAAATAGCAAATTAAAGTACATAAACAAAAATTGTAATCCCCCTTTGGCGATATTCAAAAAGAGTTTGCGTCTCTAGCTGTTTAAATTATCCATCTATAGTTTCAATTGGCATATATCTTAATTTCAAATATAAAAAAAAATAAGAAGATGTGGTATTATTGCCAATGAGACAAATCTCCACAAGAGACCAAATGACCAAACTATAGGTCACCGTACAGCCTTCAACAATAAGCAAAACCCATACCGCAAAGTAAGCTGTATATGTATACATATGGGATAGAAAGTATACTTATTTGAAATTAGGATATATGCTGTTATTTATTATAATTCAATCACATTTTAATCTTATTTCAATATTTTAAACTTTACTCAAATTAAAAATTTCAATATTTTTAACTTTACTCAAATTAAAACTATTATTATTAAAGGAGATCGCCAAATTGCAGACATCCCGTGAGGGAATCAGAAGTACGAAACCAATCAGAGTTAAGATAGTGTCAGCACAGCCTCCAAGGGAATACACCAATGCTAACAATAAGAAGATGGTTGTAGTGGAGGCAGTAATTGCAGATGACTCTGGATTTAAGAAATTGTCCTGTTACAACAGAGTTGCATTTCCATTCTTAAAGAAAGACAATTCTATTATGCTGTTGAATATCATTGGAAAGACACAAGAAATTGTAGCAACAGGAGACAGCAAAATTATCATGATTCCGAATGTGAGAGTGTCGGAAGAAATTATTTCTTCAGCACTGACAACACAAAATATCACAACTGCAAAAACCATTACATCTATTGAGCAACTTTTAGAAGAAAAAGAAGGAACTGTTTTTAATATTATTGGAAAAGTAATTGAGGTAACGTTAACTGCCATTAAATTAATAATTTGTGTGATTTCACTATTATGAAGACCAATTACAAAGTATATTTGTACATGTACATATACCGGTATATAAAAAAATTATTGCTTAGAATGAAAGATAGCTGAGTTAATGTGAAACACTACTATGTTCTGTTTCGATAAGGCATGATTGCCAATGAGACAACTAGAGACAACTATTCATCAAATACCAAATGATATAGATGTAAGCAACTATAGCGCATGAAAAAGCCTGCAACAATGAGAAAAACTCATACCCAATAGTAAACTATAAAAGACCCTAACATGACAACATACCAAAAAATCTATAAGTAAATACATGTAAATTAAATTCATGTCAGTCAAACATTATTTGATTTTGTACAAAGTATAATTTCATTTTACATCCTTTATACAGTAAGACACATCATGTCGATATTTTCGTACTACATGGGGGGAAAAAGTTGATTATATATTAGATAATATGAATATCCTAAAGTTCTACAATTATTGCACATTGTATAATAATCATGGATTTTTTTACAGCTGGAAAAGAAAATTAATGTCACAACACAGTGGAATTCCACGGTTGACGTAAGAAATGGGAAAATAGCAGATAATACGGCAGCAATCGATTTTGCCTTTTGGCGAAATTTGGCTGATTTTCCATTAAAAGAAGGGGAAGTAATAAAAATCACTAACGGTCAAATGTCAAAAACAAGTTCCAACCTGCCAAAAATCACTGGTGGAAGATACACAGCTATAGAGGTTAGTTAAATTTGATTACACCTTATGATAGTAATCACTATCATTCATGTCTAAAGTCTAATAATATTTAATATCTATTGATAGCTTAACAAAGATTGTTACAACTTAGTGATTTAATTAGCCTATTTCTACTCAAAAAACAGCATGAACCAATATATGAGAAACAACTGCTCATTTTTTGCGTCAGTAATAGTTTTGGTTCCGCATGCATGATGTCACCAATATCTACTCTGATTGGACGAAATTACGGAATTGAACAAAAACCAACAAAAAAGATATATGCTACAATCAAAGGAAAACATTATGCACATAAAATCAAACTCAAAAATGAAATTATCCAGATAAATAAAATAGATTCAGGTAAAGATGGTGTCATTATCACCACTTTCAAATTGTTTGGATTTTGTAGGCTTCGCCTTTAATACTTGAGGAGGTAAATATCACTGGCAGGTTCATTAGTTCTACAATTGAAGCTAATGCTGGTCAATTAGGCTATTAATAGCTCGAGTGCTATAAATATCTTATCGACTTTGTGTACTTGCAAGTGCAGTCTAAAACTTCAAAGGCATAATAATAATCTCAAAGAGTACAAAATATTATACTTGAAATAAAGAATGTCAAAATGCATATATCGCAAATTTAAATACTTGTCGAAAGCTGTATTATATAGATCATCTTCCTTTGGCGTCCGTCCGTCCCCAATATACACACCAAAATAGGTTGTATCTCTAATTGTTAAAGTTGTGCTTGACATGTAGCTATAATTGACATTTCTTCATGGTTCTAAACTGTTTCAAGTTTGTTATTCATTACAGATTGTAACTTAATAATATCTTATGTTTATGTCTATATCACAGCTTCTGTCCAATAAGTCAATTCTAACAATATTTATAAAATTTGCAGTCTAAAACTTCAAAGGCATAATAATAATCTCGAAAGAGTACAAAATATTATACTTGAAATAAAGAATGTCAAAATACATATATCGCAAATTTAAATACTTGTCTAAAGCTGTATTATATAGATCATCTTCCTTTGTCGTCCGTCCGTCCCCGATATACACACCGAAATAGGTTGTATCTCTAATTGTTAAAATTGTGCTTGACATGTAGCTATAATTGACATTTCTTCATGGTTCTAAACTGTTTCAAGTTTGTTATTCATTACAGATTGTAACTTAATAATATCTTATGTTTATGTCTATATCACAGCTTCTGTCCAATAAGTCAATTCTAACAATATTTATAAAATATTGAATTTATAACCTATTATTAAAATTATTGGACTCAAAGCATTTTCTTTTTGTAGATTCTTCCAGCAGAGATGATATCTGATGTTGTCACAGTGACACACGAAGATTTGTTTTCAGAAACAGCAGAGATTATCGGGATTGCATCTCTAGAGACTTACAAATCCTGCAACAACAAAAGATGCTACAAAAAAAAATTGGTAAACAACATATGTCCCACATGCTCTAAAGCAAATGATGAACAAAATAATAATACATCAGTAGTGTGCAGTGTTCTGATCAACAAAGATGAAGAATTCAAAGAACTCACTTTGTTTACTCCACAGGTGGAAGAGCTATTGCAAGAACCAATATCTCCAGAAAAGAAACAAATTGAAAACAACTTGTTATCCTGCATACCAATGAAAATCAAATATATTCAAAGCCCAAAAAAAGACAACACAGTGTCAAAAATAAAAAGACTGTAACATGTGTAACTTTAAAAAAAATCACTCCAAAAATGAAACAACTTTTCTTTTTACAATTCTTAATTATATAAGTAAGAAAAGCTAATGATAATTTATCTGATTTTGGAAAAAAACAACTTCATCACTTACTAGCTGCATTGAAAAACATTAATTTTTATTTCTGCCAATTTCACAGGTATCAATTCATTTTTCTTAATGATTTAAGAGCAATACATGTATGAGGCTACTCTTCAACAGTATACTTTGTCAATTTCATATATTTTTTATGAATGTAACTTAACTTTGTCCATGCTGAGATTGGAGTTCATACTTATATTCATACATTTGTCATAAGTAGTATTTTATACTATATTTTCATTTCATTGATGCAAAATGTCAGAGCACACTTTCTGTATATGTCTAGTCATTTACTGGTACACTTCACATCACACAATTTTTACTTTTATGGCCTGCCTTCAGTAGTAGAGGGGCACTATATTTATCAGACTAATTATTTTTTGTTATAAAGGTAGTTAACCTAACAGTGCAAAATGTAACAGCATATGCTCTTTATATATTTAGTCATTAACTGATACAGCTCTACACATCACACAATTTTATTTTTATGGACTGCTGGCAATAGTGGAGGGGCACTAATTTTTCTGGTCAGTTCGTCTGTCCATTGGCATTTGTCCATCCACCTGTTTTTCTGTTTGTCCCATATCAAGTTAAACTTTTTTGTTAAGGTAGCTTACTCAACAGTCCAATATGAAAGAGCATACTCTCTTTATATATCTAGTCATTTAGTGGTACAGGTCTGTACATCACACAATTTTATATTTATGGGTTGTCTGCAATAGTAACACGGCACTATGTTTTCTGGTTAGTTTGTCCGTCCATTTGTCTGCCGGCTTGAGTTTTTGTCCGTCCCATATGAGCTTAAAGTTTAAGGTTAAGTTAGTTTGCCAATTTGAAACATAGTACACATGATCATTGTCAGGTGAACTTTAAAATTATATGACAAATTGTGATTTTGACCCCAATTTCAATTTCACTGAACAAAGATATAGGATATTGTTAGTTGGGTATAGTATCCTATGAACATATTTATTGTTATATCTTGTTGTAGGTTTTTAATGCATAAGTAGTATTTCAGTAATATGTCACTTTTTAATAATGACACAATTACATGAGGCAGCTCCCTAATTGTTTTAATATAACTTGCTGACAGGATTTTTTCAATGCAAGTTATTCAAAGTTTTTATACGGAACATAGTTAAGTGTTATAGTAGTATTTTAAAGATATTATTGTTTTTCATATACATGTAGCTTTCCTAATACATGTTCAATGTATTTCTGATATGACATTTATATTTTTATCCTGATTATACATGTAGTTAATATCAAATAATTTTGAAGATACATGTATATGTAGTATTCTAAACATTTATTGATTTTCATACCATCTATATGTAATAAATATATTTTGCATTGTTTTAATCTATCTTGAGCAATACAACTATTTCGAAAACATGGAATTTTTGTTTCAATAGTTTTATCAGTTATTTTTATGTAGTATTTTAGGCATATATTTCTTTTCCGCATTCTGTTTATGTAAGAGAGCTCTTATACTTTTCTAATAAATACCTTGCCATATACATGAGTACAATTTGATTTTACAAAGAAAACCTACACCTAAATCTGTTAAACTTTGATTGGTGTTAAAATCCATAATCAAATACCAGATGATGTTTAAATTTTTTAAAGAAAGTTTTTTGATAAAATATTAGATAAAATTGTGTTGCATGGTTCCTTGGATTATCCTACTCCAATTGTAAGCTAATGTTCAATCAACCTGTTAAATTTTAAACCTGGACATCATGACCCCAAATCTAGTATTTACTGTCCATTAATTATTCTATTCTTATATAAATTGTGCATTTCATTTCTGAAAAATATGCACAAATTTTGTACCTTGTCAAAATATTAGAAATCTTCTATAAGACCTTCCTTTCTTATCTCAAAGTTGAATTTGATTAGTTATGACTTAATGTACAATATATTTTACTTTTTGTAAGAACAATGACTGAAAGCAAATGAAAATATTATAGTTGAGTGCTTCAGCATCTTGGAAGCTTCTACTTATACTACCAATAGTTTCTAGCTTTGTTAACCATGAATTAAGTGTTAATATTAATGTAAACAGTAGTAAATGTATATATGTTTCTTGTTATATGCACTGGATTTTTTGACGAATAAAATTTTTAGGTGTCATCACAATATTCTTATATATTTTTGCCTTAATATAACCAGACTTAGTAAAGAATTTCTTGTAGTAACATTCAGATGGAGATTTAATTAAAGAGGTCCTGCGTCATTAATTCATTGTGCTTCTGAAGGTTATCGAAATGATAGTTTTAAACATATAACAGTCTCCGGGACAAGTTTGCACTTCCGCTGAGTGCAAAAGTTGTCACCTTAATTTATGGAGTTAAGTCAAAATGAAGTTGATAACTTGGTTGGTATTGGTTCCCTGATATTTGTCCTAAAAAAATTTGGCTCTAGCACCACTGTTGAAAAAGTTATGCCCCTTTTTTCAACAATTTCCTCAGAGGAAAAGTAGTTTTCCTCAAGGGAAATCAAATTTCCCTAAAGGAAAAAGATTTTTCCTTAAGGGAAATTGTATTTTCCTCAAGGGAAAAAGATTTCCCTTAGGGAATTTGCTGCATTAATATTTCCTTTGAGGAAATTCTATTTCCTGTGAGGAAATTTGCGGCTTCAAATTTTCCTTTGAGGAAATTTTATTTCCTCTGAGGAAATTTGAGGCTTCAAATTTTCCTCTGAGGAAATTTGCAGCCTCAAATTTTCCTTGGAGGAAATACTTTTTCCTGTGAGGAAATTTTGTCAACTGCAATTTCCTTTGAGGAAATATTTAACAAACACTTTTCCTTGAGGGAAAATTCAATACCACAAATTTCCTCTAAGGAAAACATTTTTCTCCAAATTTCCTCTAAGGAAATTTCTGTACATCAACTTTCCCTGTAGGAAATGCTTTCCCCTATTTTTACTCATTGTAAATTTCTTCACTATACAAACAGTATGAACATAATGTTTACAAGACTTAATAAATGATACAAATGATATTTAAAACTTTATTAAATTTTTGACTCAAAATTATCATGACAATATAGTGAGTCTGACTGTTTAGGTCAAGGTATTGTACATACTTTATATGACTTTATTTTTGATTTTTAAAATATTTTTTGTAGCAAAGTATTCTGTTTTCTTTGTTATTGTTTCAATTGTATACATTAATAAGCAACCAATTTGAATGTCATACCATTTGTGGAGTTCTTAAGAATGCGTTCATATTTGCAAATTAAATAATAAAATAAACACTTTTCTTGTAAATTTTAATTTTCCTCTGTTTCAGCTGCTGTGTACAGTTATTCAATTCACTACGTAAAAGTTCATAACATAAATTATTCCATTCACTAAACAATTTCCTTCAATTCTTAGAGAAAACATTTTTGCAATTTGTTCTTCGAAGATCTTCTTCAGTATATTTGATATGAGGGAGCGATGTAAAATAGTGGACAACAACAAAATACTATTTTTTTCTTCATTTCTCCTTCTTTCGACGAATATATATAATATGTTGTTGCATTTATACAATTGTGTTTTTCTGCATCTATGATAGAACTCCATTTTGTTTATAGCCATTATCATGTGATTATGATGAAATTTCCTATTTCTTTTTTGCAGGAAAGCACACATTCCATTTCACATTAATCCAATTAGCGCACCATGTAGATAGATATCAACTTTCAGTTTCCTCTTCAGTATTGACCTATTGATCATGAAAACCAAGATGTCTGATCACCTATAAATACACAAAATAAACAAATAAAATGTTATAAATGGAGAGAGAAACAGCAATAAAAAAGCTAATTTTGTCATGTTTATGAACATTTTAAGAATATTTCCTTTCTTACTTGCATGACTTGTGAGTTCTCTTAATTCCGTGCTTTTTGTCTATGGGTTTTTATATTACCCCGGTAGTTGATTTTGTGCATTTTATCAATCTTTCGAGTTGAGGCAATTGCAACGGTTATTTTTACAGTTTGTTCTTTATATGTTGAGCTGTTAAACCACTGTCCAAGGTTAAGGTAGGGTTGAGTGCTCACAAACCTGATTTTTTTATTACATGTATTAGTTTTTATTGATTTTTAACTAGCTGTCAGTAGCTGTGAGTACTAACAGATCTTTGTGTCTTTTCGATTAAGAGAAGGGTATAAATTTCCTGCTTAGTCCGGACTGTTTATTTTTTTGCAGGAAATCTACCGGTATGTCATTTGTTGTCTGGTGAAGAGTTGTCTTATTGGCAATCATGCCACATCTTCTTATTTTTATATAACCTTGCCATATTCTGATTGTGCCTGTCCCAAGTTCGGAGCCTGTAGTTTATTCTGACACTCAAATTTAGTGGTTGTAGTTGTTTCATATCTGTCATATTTATTTTTTTTTAATTTGTTTTGTTATAGACTAGGCAATTAGTTCTACAGTTGGGATTATTTCAATTTTTCGTCTGAGGGCCTTTTATAGCTGACTACTTTGACAATAGGGTATGGACTTTCTCATTATTGAAGGCCGTCACTGGCATATAATTGCTTTCTTAGAGCCATGATCAATAGTTTTCATATTTAATATGCCACATCTTTTTATTTTTATAATAATCATGATAATCATCTTTCAAGGGCAATAACTTTTATAAAAGTGGCCTTATTAGTCTTATCGAGCATCACTGATGAGTGTTTTGTAGACGAAACGCGCGTCTGGCGTAAATACAAAATTTAATCCTGGTATCTATGATGAGTTTACTTACCATTTAGGTTTTGTTGACTTCTGCAAATTTTAAATTGCCTATCATTTCTGCTGTTTATAATTTCTCTGCATCTTCTATAGATCTTGTCCTACACATAAAAAGAGTAAAAATTATTATTTAATGACATCTTGCATCATTAATTATTTTGCTGTTTAATGTATATATCAATACGTGTTTAATAAAAAGCTGTACCATGAGTGCTTGATAAGCTTGTTCCCCTTTTAGCTTGGGTTTATGCTTTAAATGAATTTTAATGATCAACTACATTATAGAAAAACTCTGAGCACTGTGCAACTAAGACCCCCCCCCCCCCCACCTACAAAAAACAAAACTACAGGCTCTAAAGAGCCTGTGTCGCTCACCTGACTCTATTTGGGTTTTTGAAATCATATAAAAAAGATAAAAATCATAACAGATACTTTAATAATGATTGAGGCCATATTTGGTTTAATATTGTCCTACTCCGCTGGCGGCCGTCTTGGATGATGCATCAGCTACAGAGTATACAACACTTGGTCAACACCTCATAAGGAACATTCATGCTATGTTTGGTTTCATTCCATTCAGTGGTTCTCTAAAAGAAGACATTTGTATGTATTTCCTATAGGGTCCTATCTTAAACTAAGTCCCCTGCTGCCGGCCATCTTGGATGATAGATCGGCAACAAAGTAACAACTCTTGGTCAGCACCTCATAAGGAATTCAGTGGTTCTCTAGAAGTTCAAAATGTAAAAAGTTAACAACGGCAACGGACGACGACGGACGCCAAGTTATGAGAAAAGCTCACTTGGCCTTTCGAGCCAGATGAGCTAAAAAAGGACATGCACACAGAGTGGTATTCATTGAAACAAAACATGAAAATAATTTGGCTCCATTTTAAGGGATATTACAAGTGTATATACATTTTGTAAGTTTAAGGCCGTGATTTTTGAACAAATACAATTCTAAAACCTTCCAAAGTGTGAAAATGGACAATTTTAAACAATTTTCCAACAACTAAAATTCCATAACTCTGCATCGTATATAAAAATAAATAGGGGATGATACTCCGGCTTGCATATCATATAAAGTTATAAAGGAAGATAACTGAAGAACGGTAAAATTTATACTACTAAAATTATAACTTGATCTGATTTTGTGGTAAAAAGTATTGCGTTAAAGTTTAATAAAATTTGGTTGAGGCAAACTTAATTTAGAGGACGGAAACGTAAAATTCATCATTTTTTCCATCTGTAAAGGACATAACTCTAGAACAGACTGAGTCAGTAAAAGTGACACCACCAAAATTCAAACTGTTTTTTGTGGTAATAAGCATTGTGTGCAAGTTTCATAACATTTGGTTGAGGCAAACTAAAGTTAAAGATAGAGAGCCGGAAACCAAAAATTCAGCAATTTTTCCATTTGTAAAGGGGCATAACTCTAGAACGGTAACACTGACACCACCAAAATTCACACTTGATCTGAGTATTGTGGTAATAAGCTTTTGTAAAAGTTTTATAACATTTGGTTGAGGCAAACTAAATTAGAGAACAAAAACCAATGACTTTGGGACAGACGGACGGACGGTCAAGGGTTGACCCACTATTACATGACTATGGGTCATAAAAATGTAAAGGGAGTTTATGTCAATATATAAAATCAATTCACCAAAGTTTCATAAAAATTGGTGAAAGCATTCTTGAGACTATCCAAAGTCTCAATATACAATAAAAACTTAAATCAGAATTTTTTTTTTAAATTGAAAGGGAAATTATCATGATTATGTTAATTGGCAATATTAATAAATGCATGCAACAATTTCTGAAATTTACAGTATATAGGCTTTTAACCCCACCATATTTTTGCACCTGTCCCAAGTCAGGAGCCTATATGTGGCATTTGTCAGTTTTGTATGATTTTTAATTTTAGTTTCTTTTATATATTTCGGAGTTTAGTATGACGTCCATTATCACTGAACTAGTATACATTTTTGTTAAGGAGCCAGCTGAAGCATGCCTCAGGCTGTGGGATTTTCTCGCTGCATTGAAGTCACATTGGTGACCGACTGTTATCTGCTCTTTGGGCAGGTTGTTGTCTCTCTGACACATTCCCCATTTCTATTTTCAATTCTATTTTAAATTCAATTATAAATGTTAGGCTTCTTGTTGATTTGTTTTACATTTGTCATTTCGAGGCCTTTTATTATATTTACAGCTTTCTATATGCATAGGTGCTTGAGGACAGGATCCTGTTTTGAGCCCCCCCCCCCTAGTCCCTCCCCCTTATTATCATAAATCTTAGATTTTTCAATATATATCACTTATTTGTACCATATACATACTAATATACCATATTTTTACTCTTAATATGCATGTTTACTATCAACGTGAATCTCGACTCCTGTCCTCAAGCACCTATGTCTATATGGTGTGAATTTTGCTCATTGTTGATGGTCGTACGGTTATCTATAGCTCAGCGAAGCAACATCACAACTGTTTCCAAGTTTGTGAAGTCAGAGGACCATATTCATCTTTCCGACTTTCAGATCATTTGTTGATTTTTCATGAATATGTGCCATTCCAATATGAAATAGCTAAATCATGTATATATTAAAAAAAAACTTTAAACTAGGATACTCATTTGGGGAACTAATGATTTGTTGGTTTTTCCCTAGTCCAAATAATTATGACGTCTGGCAAGGCTATTTTTTTTTCTGGGACGCCTAAATAGCCTTGCAAGACGTCATAATTATTTGGACTAGGTTTTCCCCACCATCGACATCGTCCTGTGGACGAAACTAGTTTGGCGCATTAAGGTTCATCATAACAAATGGACAAATATGGCCGTATTTTCACCTCAAAAACTACACTGTGTACAGACTTACCTGAGCAGTTTGGAAAGTTTTAAGGCCTGGCATCCACTAGATATATAAAAGTTAAATGTATTTTGTATATCAGAAAGGTAAAATCTTTTTTGGATTTTAATGGGCATTTTTTTTCATTCCTGCAGAAGGTGTAAAAATAAACTAAGTTGGGATACAACTTTGAGATGCTCCCTCTCAGGTAACAACTGGTTTGTATTGTATTGATTGTACTTGATTGGCATGGACAATAGATATCTACACATGGTTTATTCCCGATTGTCCCACTTTTTAAAATTTTAGAGTTCTGTAATTGTCCCACATGAAAAGTTCTGATTGTCCCACATTATTTTATGAAGTAAAATGTTCTTAAATAAACAAGGTATATATTGTTTGTTTTGCTAGATAAACAAGAATTAATTATTGCATGTTCAAACTTTTATTTAATATAAATTTTATAAAAGCATAAGATATGATTTTTTTGGTATATCATCAGATTAATGCACTTTTGAGTAAATAATATAACATTTATGAGTTATATTTATAAGCTTACGTTTATTTATATAAAACAAATATCAATACTGTGATTTTAATTTAAATTTTTTTTCGAAAGTTTTTAAAATGAATTAAGATATAATCCATGCAATTTAAAGAAAAGTGTAACTTAAAACTTAATTACGCTGTACACTATACACGCACTAGTTGATGGAGAGATGTTTCCACTAGTCTTTGCACTTTTACCAGTGAAGTCAGATGCCATTTACACAAGATTCTTTATCATACAGAATACAATCTGATGGTGGTGACGGCAACACCGTTAACTATTTGTAAAGCTTTATATTTCAGGGGGTAGAGGAATCGGATGGCTCATATTTTGTATATAGATCCATTGTGTTACGAAGTTCCTGTCTGTCATATAATCATTGTCCTTGACTTCATGTTCATGGTTTGGTGACTGCTAAAAACTGTATAGCTTGTTTTCGTCATGTGAATGTCTCATTTATCATAAGTTCTAGGATAACTATACTTGGCTACTTGTCTAATATATGGTATCCTTGCAATTCCTACATGTCCGTCAGACATCATCGTTCACATGACCTCGACCTCATTTTATGGATCTATGAACAAGGTTAAGTTTCAATGGCCAAGGCCATATCTCAGATGCTATAAGTAGTGGGTCAAATACTTTTGGTGTATGGAATGGTAGCAGGGTGTACATGTCTTTGTGACAGAGTTAATCTGACCTTACCTCATTTACATGGAACATTGATAATGTTAATTTTATGTAGTACTAGTTGTATAATATAAAAATAAGGAGATGTGGAAGTAAGCATTTATAGGCAACCGTATGGCCTTCAACAATGAGAAAGCCCATACAGTATGGTCGGCTATAAAATGCCCCGATATGGAAAATTTTATATAATTCATTTGAGAAAACTAACAGCCAAAATAACTAAACAATTTACCAAAAAAATTATGACAAACATGAACCAACGACAACCACTCAAATACCGGCACGATACTGACTTGGGACAGGCATATACAGAATGTGTAATCCTTTCTTCAAAGACTTTCTACAAAATACAGTAAGTTAGTAAAACATGCTGTAATAGTAGAATCCTAGTTTTTACGGTAACGATGTTTATGATCATACTTTTCTAAGACTATTGATGACGTCCTTACATTACCTTTCAATAAGGGGACGACCATTTGATTTCGAAAGGGGGAGGGGAGGAGGATTTTGAAAATGAATAACTTGGCCTGGTATTAACTGAAAATAAATGACTTTGCACAAGACAGGATGAAAAATTGATATGTGATGTTTTTTTACTTAATATTATATTCTATGATTGATGATACTTCAATTGTACACTGATTGTTTACCTGTAACTATTCCTTCTACACCCTATACAAACAAATTAATCACTATCAAAACAATTCCCGATTGTCCCACATTTAAGCTTCCCAATTGTCCCACAAACATATTCCTGATTGTCCCACAAAATTTCATTACTTTTTTACCTGTAATTTTAAAAAGTGGGACAATCGGGAAGACACCCTACACATCTATAGGTGAGTTAAAGGTAGTAACTGAGTGGACAGTATCAAATGCAATTCAGGTGTTTGTTTATTTTTAGGTAAACGGACAGAAAGTCACAGGACATAAAGTCACAAATTTTGATAGGAAAAAAAGTCACAGGACAAAAAGTCACAAATAATTTGTTGACAATTATTTGAATATATAAGAGAAAGATCTTGAAATATATTTTTTTTATTTCATATATTCATTTTACAGATTAAGAAATTGTTCATTAGCTGTGATAAATGAAAAAAATATTAAATGTTAAGCATGCAAAGGATATATTTCTTGGCACGAAGAAGCCATTTAAGTACCAAGCCACTTTGACATTTTGTTTTCTTAACAATTATTTGATAATTATTGAAATTTATTAAATAAATTATAATGA